GGGTCTTCACCGATATTTTCAATACCTCCCTCAGTCAAAACTTAGTACCCGAGTGCTTCAAAGAATCTATTATCATTCCAGTCCCCACAACCAAGACCATCTCCTGCCTCAATGATTACAGGCCTATTGCCCTGACATCAGCAGTCATGAAATCATTCCAGCGCATCTTACTCAATCACCTAAAAACTGTCACCACTCCACTCATGGACCCATTACAATTTGCTTATAGAGCCAACAGGTCAGTTGAGGACACAGTCAACTTGGCAATGCACCAAATACTGAACCACCTTGAGTCCGCAAACACACATGCCCTCATCCTGTTCATGGATTTCAGTTCTGCATTCAATACAATAAGCCCCGTCAAACAAGTCAATATACTACTGGACATGAACAGCGATCCATGCATTTGCCACTGGATTCACAGTTTTCTCTGGAACAGGAAACAGAGGGCAAGGATGAATAATAATACATCCTCCCCGCTGTTCCTCAGTACAGGTGCACCCCAAGGCTGTGTTTTCACCCTGGCTTTTTTCACTCTACACAAATCAGCTCACATCACACCACAGTTCTGTCAGCCTATACAAATATGCGGATGATTCAACCATTATAGGACTCATTACCAACAACCAAGAAACCGTATATCGTGCACAGATCAACCAAGCAGTGACCTGGTGTACAGACCATGATCTACTCAACACATCAAAAACAAAAGAACTCATCGTCGACTATCCCCCAAAACTCCTGTGCTCATTGAAGGTGAACCCATCTCAATCACTGATCAATTCAAACTTCAAGGAATACATATTAGCAATAACCTTAAATGGAAAATCAACACAGATCATATCTACAATAAAGCCAAGCAAAGACTTTTTCATCTCCGACAGCTCAAGAAGTTCAGAGTAAGATCTCATCTTCTGCTTCGGTTCTACATGGCCATCGTCGAAAGCATCCTCACCACATCCGTCACAGTCTGGTTTGGCAGTCTTGACTCACTTTCCCGGAAGAAACTACAGCGTATCGTCAATAGAGCATCTAAAGTCATCGGTTCACCACTACAATCCATCAAATCACTCTACCACAAATGGACATTACGCAGAGCTCACAAGATAATTGCGGATACCTCTTACCCTGCACACAACACCTTCCAGCTACTGCCCTCTGGGAGGCGTTACAGGACAATCGCCGCTAGGACAACTCGTTTTAAAAACAGCTTCTTTCCGAAAGCAATCAACATTTTGAACTCTGAACGCTGAGGACTGGATTAAGCATGACCCATTACCCCTTATGCCTATGTATGTTTTGTGTGCATGTATGGTATTGTATTATATACGTTTAATTTTCTGGAACCTGCACCCAAGAAATGAGCTGTACTGAAAACAAATTCCACCAGCTTGGCTGTGTGGTCATTTAAAAAAATAATAATAATAAAATACCTTTAACTGGATCCATACACTGAAGTCCACATCCATTGTTGCAGCATTTCTGTTTGTTGGCACAGTCACTGTCATCGGCACACGGCACGAAACGTATCCGGGCACACATTGCTGGTTTATATTTTTTAGTTGGACACAATCCTGGCTTTGCTACGAAACAAACATTGAAAAAAAAATAAATAAATAAAATATCCCCATCAATCCAGATCCATCAAAAGTAATCCACATGGCTCCAGGGTGTTGATAAAGACCTATCCCTTGAAGCATGAAAATGACTGAAGGAAATATATATTTGATAAACAATTTAAGCCAACTCGTATGATTTGTTATTTTGGTTTCTCTACGCAATACATTTAAAAATTACAAATCCAGTGAAAATACAAGTCTGACTCGTTCTGGAGAAAGTGGTATCGGTGCATCCAAGTCATATTTACCTGCCCTTCAATATATCAGGACTAATATATATTAAAAAATGACTTGGATGCACCAATACAACTTTCTTCAAAGAGTCTGATATCTGGATCTTAAGAATATAAATCATACAAATATATACATTTCCTTCAGTTATATTCATTCTTAAAGGGATAGGCCTTCATCAACCCCCCGGAGTCATGTGGATTACTTTTATGATGGATAGATGCACTTTGATGGAATACAGAACAGAAACAGCCATTCACTGCTATAATAAAGCTTGGAAGAGCCAGGACATTTAATATAACTCCGATTGTATTCATATGAAAGAATCGACACCTAGAATGTCTTCAGGGTGAGTACGTCATGGACTAATTTTCATTTTTGGGTGAACTATCCTGTAAGCACAGTCACCATCATCGACACACGGCCTGAAAG